TTAATATCTATACAAATATTCAAATTCATCTGCATCTATATATACATGGTAATTTTTTTTTATATATTTTTATTTAATCATTTTTACGCAAATAACAATCGTCTCGGATTTTCAACAAACTCTTCGATTATTTCCTTCTGAATCACCTCGCGGTTTTCAGTAACGAGTTTTCTATGGACGTTCATGAGGCATAGTCCAGAAAGCTTTTCTTCTCCTGTTGTGGCTCTGAGTCACGAAGTGGTTCTGAGCTACGAAGTCTACCAAACGATCGCTCCACAGTCGCTGTTGTGCATGGAAAAGCGCTGGTAGAAATTCGCTTTCTTCTTTAAATACATCTACAACTTAAATATCCTTCAAATCTTCTTTGGACAAATTCTTTTTCTCTTTCTTCCATAAATTATACCAAAGAATGAGTTCACGGACCATAACTAGATCACAAATCTGTTGAAAATGCCAGCCATTCCATATGCCTTTGTGAGTTTTAATATTGACAGCGGTTAACCGCCGACCGCTTCACCGTCGTCCGCTGCAATTCTGGGAGCTTTAATCGAATACAATGGGTGCAATCTAGACAGCGAAAAAGCTGTAGTATTTTGATTGGAAAAACGTTGTTTTTAAAGATGCCGTTAGTGAATCTAGATACGGTTTTGTTATAGACCGTCGCCAGTCCTCATTTTCATTGACCGATAGGGGTTACTTCTGTTTTTTTGTTACCTGCCAAACGTGGTAGAAAAATTACTACTCCTTGAACGACTGTAATCATACGAGTTTTTTTTTACGGAGTAAATCCGTAGTGGAAAACTTTAAGCGCTTTGAGCGACCTCTAAATATATTTTGATTTCAAAATAAAACAAGTAAGAAAGTCTAAGTTCGGGCGGAGCCGAACATTAAATACCCGGCGCAAGTATTAAAGATATGTTTTCCACCTTGCCGAAAGCTACCGCTACATGATAAGCCGGGGTGTATACATTTTAAGTAAATTAGCGTCCTTAAATTTCGACATATTGAAATTTCAAGCATTTCTGAAATTTATTGTTATTTGAAA